AATCTTTATTTTATTGTATGGTATCTGTGATTATTGCATTTGTTGTACAGTCACTCAGAAAAGCTTTTGGAGGTCATCACAGTTTCCCCTTTTGATTACTCAAACACTCAAGAGATGCAAACCGGGACTAAATATAAATCAAAGTCTCGAACAAACGAATAATTAAAATTCGAAGGGAATCAATCATTTCCCAAATCCCATCTGAATGAAATAGTCTCGTGTGTTCCTGAAAATATGAAAAACCAAACAATCATGGAGCTTCACTGTGTTGAAAATATGCCAAACGTTTTCACAGGGGTCTTTCAAAGGGGATTTACTTGATTTGAAATATTTGTCATTATTACATTTGAGATGACTGCTGTCATGCCATCAAACTCATTTCTTCACATGTGCACCTTCTGAGGAATTTCTGCTGGTGAAATTCATTGCATTCATTTGTTATGTACTTATTAGCAGACTGACGTGGAATCTACACCCATAGATTTTCATTCAATTTGAATGCCATCATTCATAAAGTTATAAACATCTCAGTCCCTTTTGTTATGTTACGCATACAATGGGATCCACAAGTGAAAAAGCTTCCATTTGTATTTTTAATTTTACGTCTACACATTTTTAGTTAATTTGTTCATTTTGTGCAATTAATTATGAAAAATTAATATTTAAAGCAAGATGGTGGTATTGTAGGCCTGAAAGCGGGCTTGTGTAAAACGTGGGCTCTGGATCCTTTCTTAACAGTTCTGATCCAGGTTGAACTGATGAAAAGACCCATATAATGTAATTGCGTTTAGAAAGGAGCGACACGCCAAGTCCGCACTGCCGAGAGACCAGCTCGTCCTCCGGGCGTCTGCCGCTGCATCACTGCTTACCTGTTTTATCATAATTGTTTTGGCATCTTTGAAACAGGGATTAATGTAGGCACAGTTCACTGAGCCGCTGCTCTGCAAAAAAACCTATTTATCACCGTCTTTTCTTTTCGTGGGGCCGCCTCGGAAGCTCCGATTGCAAAAGTGGCTTTGTGTTCATTTGACTGGCCTCAATAAATCAACAATTCTGAGTCGAAAGGCTTCAGAGGAAACGGAAGAGTCAAGTCGCTTTCTTTAATGGCTTCAAAACAAAAATGAAGGCGAATGAACACAGCCTGATGTTCATCTCCATATCGGTTTTCGTGCGTACAGCAGCCCAGCTATTGCGTTTTTAATTAGACCACATGGGCACACACTCATGCATTTTATTTTTTTAATTATGATTATTTTATTATCTTATTTTAATCTAATGATGTCCTGCGACTTGTGCCAGGGGAACTGAAAACCCCTTAACAAACAATCGCAGCCTGGCGGGATGCTTCCTGTGTGGCCAGTTTTAACTTTTGATGTCATCAGCGTCTGGAATGACTCAGTCCGTGTGAGTGATGGAGCTCATTTTTTAATTTTTTCTATCAAACGCCAACACAGTTTATGAGTCTAATCTAATCTGCCAACAGACTCTTCTGTGTGATAGATCTCCTCTCTCTGTCTCTTTCTGTGAAATTATGCAATGATTAATCTTTAGAGGATATCAGGATGACGGGACAAAATTGTGCTGTTGAAAACAGTTACCACACAGCATCTTTGAAGTGTGGATACTTACCTTAATTATGTTTGCTGGGGTTTCATCAATTCCTGATGGAAAATCACTGGCATTTTCTGGGCTTTTATGGAAACTTGGAGCTCTTGCTGGTGCATGTCTGATCTTACATTGACGTGGTTCAGTTTTTTCAGTTTCATTGTTTCAAAAAAAATAAATAAAAAATTGACCAATGTACTGTATGCAGCATTTAAATACGGCATATTTGCATACATTTTCTTTTCTTTAAATTAGGTCCAAAAGTCTGCGAACATATTGAGAATCTGTGTCAGAATCTAATGCAGACCTGCAATTCATGGAAATAGATTTAGGATTTTGCTAAAAAAATATATATTTGTTTGTATATATTTAATATAATATATTTGGCTTGTTTATTAAATATTTTGGTGAATTTTTTTATGTGCACCTGTGGGTTCAATATAATGTTGATATATAGTGGGGTCCAAAGATCTTTGAAAAAATGCTTCTATTTTGGATTTTTCATATTTTATTTGTACATTTTTCAATTCCAAATGATTAATCTTTAGAGGATATCAGGATGACGGGACAAAATTGTGCTGTTGAAAACAGTTACCACACAGCATCTTTGAAGTGTGGATACTTACCTTAATTATGTTTGCTGGGGTTTCATCAATTCCTGATGGAAAATCACTGGCATTTTCTGGGCTTTTATGGAAACTTGGAGCTCTTGCTGGTGCATGTCTGATCTTACATTGACGTGGTTCAGTTTTTTCAGTTTCATTGTTTAAAAAAAAATAAATAAAAAATTGACCAATGTACTGTATGCAGCATTTAAATACGGCATATTTGCATACATTTTATTTTCTTTAAATTAGGTCCAAAAGTCTGCGAACATATTGAGAATCTGTGTCAGAATCTAATGCAGACCTGCAATTCATGGAAATAGATTTAGGATTTTGCTAAAAAATATATATTTGTTTGTATATATTTAATATAATATATTTGGCTTGTTTATTAAATATTTTGGTGAATTTTTTTATGTGCACCTGTGGGTTCAATATAATGTTGATATATAGTGGGGTCCAAAGATCTTTGAAAAAATGCTTCTATTTTGGATTTTTCATATTTTATTTGTACATTTTTCAATTCCAATTTTTACTGAATTTAATGCTAATAAAAAATAAAAAATTAAAAAAAAAATATATATATATATAGTCTCTTATGCTGTATTTAGCTGACAGAAACTTGTTAAAAACAGTAATAATGTGAAATATTAGTACAATCTAAAATAACTTTTCTCTATTGTAAGATATTTTAAAATGTAATTTATTCCTGTGATGCAAAGCTGAATTTTCAGCATCATTGCTCCAGTCTTCAGTGTCACATGATTCTTCAGAAATCATTCTAATATGCTGATTTAGTGCTCAAGAATTTTTTTTTTCTTATTAATCAATTTGGAAAAGTTTGTGCTACTTAAAAATTTAGTGGAAATCAGTATTCTTTTATAAATTAAAAGAACAGCATATATTTGAAATAGAAATATTGCATACCATTAAAAATGTTTTTTTTCCTGTCATTTTGGTCAGTTTAAAGGCAGGGTAGGTGATTTGGTTCAAAAACATGTTTTGTTATGCTGGTTGAAAGTCTCTTCACATTCTGATCTCTTCACAATCACTAAGTTAACTGGTCTAAATTTGTTTATATTTATTTATATAGTCTTTGGAAGGCCTAGGACCATAAAATGTTCATCCAATCATATCCATTGATCCAAGGGCTATGATTCTGGCTGAATAAATGTTATGTTTTTTTCTTTCTAAACTTTTAAACATTTGAACAGTAGTGTGTAATATATTTTCTATTTCTGTTTTAATTTATCAAAATTCCTTTGTACCAAAGCTCAGATGTTCCTGCTTTCAGTGAAGCACAAAATGCTTTTTAGATCATTCTCAGATCATGCTGAAGAACATGATTATCTGGTCTTTACAAGCTTTTGTTTTGATCCATCAGTCTGCTTTAGGGTGATGTTTAGTACCTGAGCTAATGTAGTTCACCGGTGCAGATGATTTGTGTTTAGCTCTTTTATAGAGGAGAATAGACAGCAGATGCCAGAAGTTTAGTTGGACCTGGTTGTTGTTAATTAATCTCAGGTGAACTGCAGGAACGCTGTTATACTCCTAAGAGTGTGTAGACACTGCGTCAGCTCAATGAAGGCAAACTTTCTCCTGCCAGTGTGTTTCGGTCAGTGTGAAAGACGGGCTTCAGACACACAGATGCTGCTGTGATTGGTGCTGGTATGTTCTACACTGACAGTAATGGGCAAATAAAAATGTCCAACATTGTAAGCGGGAGGTGAAGAGCTCTTTAGTGCCTCAGAGTGCAATGTTGTAAAAGATTATCTGCTGGTTTTATCTCCACAGCTTCCAATCCAATTCCACTCAGTAGAGGAGAAAACTGAAGTGGAAAGAACTTTGAGATTTTCTGGTTTTAAATGGATAGTCGACTAGTGTATGTGTATATATATTTTGAATTTGGATATATATATATATATACACACACACACACACACACACACTGTATATAGGTATATATACAGTATATATGTTTTTGGAAGTCTCTTTTGCTCACCAAGACTCCATTTGTTTGATGTCAGTGAAATGTTATTACAGTTGAAAATTCAGCTTTGCCATCACAGAAATAAATTACATTTTAAAATATATTACAATAGAAAGCAGTCATTACTTCAATCTTCAGTGTAACATGATCCTTCATTTCTTAATATATTGTTATTATTGCTATTTACTATGTGTTCCGTTTAATTTAATTTATTTATTTGTAGCAAAAAACATAGACTCATACATTTTTACCATGATTTACAGAAAACGCTCACTAATGTCATTCAGTGTAGGAATAGTTGATATAACAAAAAATATTGTCAAGAATATTTAGAATTATTATTAGATGACATTAAAAGACTCAATTTAAGGATCACATTGCAGCCCCAAAATGTTAATTAATTGTCATTTTTAAATCTTTACCAATCTTTGCCACTATCATTCAAACCACTAGGTTTGTCCCATTTGTCTTAAATAATTTAAAATATTATAAAACATTTTGTATGATTTCTTTTATATATTTTAATAAGTACAGGTCGGGGTATGTTGTTCACTTTTACATAAATATATCTGTTACACCAAATAACGATGGAGCACTATTTCACCGATATGATTTTTTACATTTTATTTGAAACATTGAAGTTGAAGTTATTTTGCTATATTAATTATTTTGACTGAGGAAACGGTTTGTGTTAAAATGGACTGTTTTCCTTCCAAGATTTCAATATTCACAAAGCTTTACTAAACTGCTGCAGTTTTCATTGAGAACTGATATTTTAATCCATCTCATCTCTCCAACAGGTCCCGTGACCAATGCTGTTATCATACCAGCACCTGCCAACATGTTCCTTGCTGACAGTCATCCAGCCGTCCCACTGCCACGGTTCAGTCGCCACCTGAACCCCTCTGAGCAGGGTGACGGCACGGGCTCCGGAGGCATGTGTCTGAGACTGCGAGCCAACACACAGGTAACATCTGAAACATCGCTTACGATTTAAAGGGCACATATCATGGAAAATAGGATAAGGTCCACTGAGAATTTTTATGAGATGTCACAATTGCTCATTTAGAGCAACAGTGTTGCATTTACTTATCAATTCATATTTGGTATGCAGCTACTTGGCCTTCCCTGAGAAATGCAAAAGGTCACATGCAAAGGTTTAGCCAAAGCCAGAGGTCATTTACATATAAATGTCTTAAAAGATGCGGAAGCAAAAAACATTCTTATTTAAAAAAAGCTATGCTTCTATAAATCTGACATAATGAGGGACTTGCTGTATACTAGGACTGAACAATATAGCCAGAATATTTGATAGTATATAATATATTATTTATCTATGTTTTCAGTCATTTGATGTTTTTTTATATGTATATTGATATTGTCTATTTTAATCGTTTCAAAGGATTATTCTTTCTCTGGTTTTGTTCTTTAAATGCACATTACGAAGTATAAGTAAATAAGGATGTTTCTTGCACTTTTACTCACTTAATAAGCACAGGAAGATTTTAACATTATATTTGATCATTTACAGTTATGTGCGTAATTGTAATTCTTGAAACGTAATTGTTTTCTTGAAGCAGTTTGAAATGATTTACAGAAATTAGCATAAACATGTTTTTGCTACAAAATTTTTAACCAGAAACGGAATGTATCAGTTTCTTTCTTTCCAAACTTTTCAATGGTAGTGTATAACATATCTTCTATTATATATGTGACCCTGGAGCAAAAAACTAGTCATAAGTAGCACGGGGATATTTGTAGCAATAGCCAAAAATACATTGTATGAGTCAAAATTATAAATTTTTCTTTTATGCCAAAATTCATTAGGACATTTAGTAAAGATCATGTTCCATGAAGATATTTAGTAAATTTCCTACCGTAAATATAAAAAAAAAATGCATTTTTGATTAGTAATATGCATTGCTAAGGACTTCAGATTCCAGATTTTCAAATAGTTGTATCTCAGCCCAAATATTGTCCTGTCCTAACAAACCTTACATCAATAGAAAACTTATTTATTCAGCTTTCAGATGGTGTATAAATCTCAATTTCGAAAAATTGACACTTCTGACTGGTTTTGTCGTCCAGGGTCACATATCGTTACCGTGAAATAAAATTACTCATATTGTGATATAAAATTTTGGTCATACCGCCCACCCTTAGCATCATGGGTAATGTAGTTTTTCACAAGGGATTGAGCTGTTAAATATGATTATTTAAAACAGAGGTTGATGATGGCCTCAACAGAAGAGTATACCATTGATTAACAGCCTCAGAGCTCACAGTAGGTCTGTCTGTCTTTAAATGTTTTTCAGTTATTATTCAAAATCAATTTCTCTATTGAGAAAATGAAAGGCACTTTTACTTCCAAAACCCGACTGTTGCACATCTATATAAAATGAAAATTTGTTTTCTACATGCATGCTATTTACTCAGTATGTCATAACTCATCATAACCTAGATGTTGCTAAATACATCTTATAAATAAATAAATAATATTGACAACAAAATCATTGCAAATCCATCATGAATATCCAGCCATCCTCAAATGCATAATCAGGTGGTTGTTCTTTTCCTTTAATGCAGATGTTGACACTTGTATAAGGTGTCACTGCTGCATGTTGGTGATACGATTAGGTCAAAGGTGTTTAATGCAAGTTGCACATATGGATCTTCCTCCTCACCAACAGCAGAGTTCAAACGTGATGAATGTTTACAGCCGTTAGCAGCTTGACCGTAATTCCCTCTGTCAAAATCAATTACAGACCTAAAAATGAAATGCTTATAAAGTCTTACATTTGCCCACCACCTGCTCAGTGGGTCCAACCTTTTTTTTTTTAAATCTTTCCTTCTTTCTGCATATCTGCTGTTTTCCTCTTCCTCCCCCTCCCCCTTAGCTTATTTACAGAGCGGCTAATCTTCCAGCCTCTGGGAGAGCACATGCTATCTGGAAAACACCCTTCTTTCACCTCTGCACAGTGAGAGGGATCCTAAAACAAATGTTTTGATAAGTGCATTAATACTTCTACCAGGAAGCAAAAATAACTGCGACCCAGAGGCTGCACCCAACATCACACATTCGGCATGATTGGCATTCCACACGGCGTGTAAATTAAAGCTGCTCTGAGAAAATTAATTTCTCTTACGGAATTGTTTCTGTTATTCGCTTGGAAGGTGAAGCGACGACCCCGCTGGGAGGGGTACACTGCGAAATCCGGCCTGAATTGAACCGCTCGACACTCTAAATAATCGCGACTCAAGGGGGAAGTCTATTAGCAGCCTGGCTGACTCTATTCAGATGGAGGTCAGCGGTAAGATGGGTTTCCATCAGACCTGTTGCCATCCTGGAGGAGCTCAGGTCTGCTCCGCTCTGTGCTAATGGAGTGGAGCTTGAGGACAGTGGGTTACGGCCCTTAACTTTGCATAAAGATATGAAAGCTCTTATTTGGCCCTGAATTTGGCAGCTCATGGTGGTGGGCTAAAGGTTGCTGCCAGAGCTGCAGAGGTCGATCGCTCAGCTTTCATAGCTAATTCTGAAGCAGTTTTTTATTAAGCTTAATCGTCTGCGATATTTGCCAGCTGTTTATTTATCCGGAAAACGTTTAATTTTAATTTGGCATTTGTGTTATTTTGCATTGGTAACAAGCTTCCACAAGCTTTCCTGGTTGTGGTTGCCAGATTTCAAGAGTTTAAATCTTACGTCCTGTGGTTTACTTGATGTTTCCATCCTGGCAACCTTGCACATGCGCTCTCTCTGTATTACAATAAAAATGCTTATGAGCTGAAAACACAGAGAAAAAATGTACGAGTTTAGCGATATCATTCTGTGGTGGAAAAGGTGCTAGTGGAAATTACATTAACATTTTCAAAAATAAAATGGTAGACTAATTTTACAGATTTATGTGCACTTTATGTGTCCTACTTTTAATAAAACTTGTTCTTAATTTTGATCAAAAGAATTGTTGTGAGGGAAATTATGTTACAGTTCTGGGACAAAATTTATCATTTTAACACAATAAATATGAAAATGGTTTATTTCACTTGTACTTTATATTACATTTCATTTATGTATGTGCTGCTTAATGTTTTTAAGGAAACCGTGATTCATTTTTTCAAGATTATTGAAAAGAACAGCTTTTATTTGAAACCGCAATTTTTTTGTTACATTATAAATGTCTTTACTGTCACTTTTGATCAGTTTATTTTGCCCTTTCTTTATAGTATTAATATTATTTATTGGTTAAAAGGTCTTTATTTAAAATAAAAACAAAAAAACAAAATCGTGCTGAGCACATACTTTTGAATGGTAGTGTAAGAAAAGCCTCCACATTAAGGAAATTATGTACAATTATGTACAATATTACGAGTACAATATTTCTAATTTGTGAGTGTCTGTGGGTGTTTTTGTGACCACATTCAAACTACTATGCTGAGCAACAGCACCTGCTTTACTCATCTTTCTGTGAAATCAGCAGCTTTACTGTATCCATCGAGGCAGGAACAGTAAATTCCCACAGACGGGCACTGATGGTCCGTAAATCAGCAGAGTAAGATGGCAGGATCTGGGAATGGCTGTTAAAAAGAGATTGACCTTGCTGAGATTTTCATTGTCAGCCTTAATAATATCGTTGGACCCTTGGAACAACGTCATCCCCTCCACAAACCCCCAGCCACTTATTCACTGTCAGCAGTGATCAGCCTGCAGGAGACAGCCATGATTAGACCTTGTTTGTAATTGACCCTCTCATGGTTGGCACAGCCACTTCAGGACACATGTGTCACGGGAAATGCTACACACAAACACCTTATTTGCACAATCGATCATTATTGTAGCTTAACATGCTATTATGTTGATGTTTAAAGTGTTTTGCTTTGTCTTTTCACACTCTCAGGAGCCAGAGGGGACGTATTTGGAGAAGGCAGACGAGCTCTACTCTCTGATGTGTGCTGTCACTGACAAGGTAAGCAGGGAAGTTCACTGCTGCTGTTGTGAGTCAGTCGTTACTGTGAGCTGAATTTTAGCAAGGCTTTTAAGGCGGAGATGGTTTGTAGCCTGTTGGCTTAGATTTTTTTGTTGATCAGCGAGTGGAGATGGAGCACTTGTCACGAGTAGTGTGGACTAGTGCTCAGCCAGGCAGAGTAATCAAATTGCCATTTTAAGATGGCTAACAACTATGCCCATCTGGGTTATTAACACAACCTTTTCATATGAATTGTGATCAAATATTGTTTATAGGGATGCACCGATATGAAAATTTTGGCCGATACCGATAACAGAAAAAATGAGCCGATATGGGCCGATACCGATATGGTGGCCGATATATCGTGCATCCCTAATTGTTTAAATGAAATGTTCAGCAAATTAAGGTTCTTTGCTATGATAACCAGTACAAAATTTCTCTGCCTATACCGATTATTCAGAAAACTGATAACGATAAGGGAAAAAAATCTCTCTCATCTAATGCTGTAAACTATACAGGGAAGCCACTCATTTGGTATGTTGCTATAATAATAGAGGTTAAAATTAACAACAGAGACCAAACTACCGTATTCAACTGCTATTTATGTTCAGATATAATAATCGCAGTCAAATAAAAACAGAAATGTTTGCATACATCTCAGTTGCACGTAAGGTAGTTTTCATAGAAACTTCTTATGACAGATTTATTCAAACATACATATATAATTATCAGTAAATAAGCTCGGTCTAGTGTTTTTTAAGGCTAAATAACCAACTGTGAACACTGGATAACTTTCCTGATGTTAATGCAATGTTAAGCGACATTGATTACAAGCTGTTTTATTGACGTCTTTCTGATGTTGAAACACTGATCAAGTGATTACATGAGAGAGGATACATTTCAGTTAGTTTTACTTTATCCTCTGAAGTTTATTCGTGTTTATTTTGTGCCGTAACTAGTAGTAAAGGGGAAGGGACTCGCGTTCCTAAGGCACTACGGCAATCTGTAATGCTACATTTATGAATGTCAAAAGGGCATTTATTGCTTGAATTTTGTGATAAAGTTGTCAAAATTAGAGCATTGAGACTTTCACTGCATCCAAAATCGAATACTTGCCTACTATATAGTATGCGAAAAACAGTATGCTCAAAGAATAGTATGTCTGAATTCATCGTATGCAAAAAAAAGTATACCAAAAGAATAGCATGTCAGAGTATGGGGAAAAACAGTATGCCAAATGAGTGTCCAAATTCATAGTATACAAAAAAACAGTATGCCAAAAGAGTAGTATGTCCGAATTCATAGTATGGGAAAAACAGTTTGTCAAAATAGTAGTATGTCCGAATTCATAGTGTGCGGAAAAACAGTATGCCAAAAGAGTAATATGTCCGAATTCATAGTATGGGAAAAACAGTTTGTCAAAAGAGTAGTATGTTTGAATTCATAATATGTGGGAAAAAAGTATGCCAAAAGAGTAGTATGTCCGAATTCATAGTATACAAAAAACTGTATGCTTAAATAATGGTATGTCCGAATTCTTAGTATGCGGAAAAACAGTATGTCAAATGAGTAGGATGTCCGAATTCATAGTAGGCGAAAAACAGTAGGTGAAAAGTACCCTGATGATCTACTGCTTCTGCCCGGATTTTGAAGTGCACAGTCAAAGGATTCTTTATTATCCCATGAGGCCACGGGAGATAATTTATGAATAGCATGAATATTTATAAATAGCACATGATAGTAACAACATGGTAGATGTAATACATCTGAATTTCCTTCATACTACCCATATTCATACTACAATGTACTTTTTTTTAACTGTCTCAAAGTTCAAATTCAAATGTAGTACCTATTCAGACAGTATGTGATTCCAGATGCACTGTTTGTCTCTTGTAACCAAGAACAAAGCTCTTTGCGATTACTGGACAGGAGGTGCGCTAGAAATAAGGTTTGGTGAAGGGACAAACCATGGACCTGGCAACCCTGGCTTAAAACCTTTTCCATATAAGCAGCACATCATTGCTTTTATCAGTCGACACAGATTATTAGCTGATGTGCTGGTGCATCCCTAATAATACGTGGCTTTAAGGCAACCAAGGCAGCCAACTAGGCAGGGTAGGTGATTTGGTTCAAAACCATTTTTTGTTATGCTGGTTGAAAGTCTCTTCACATTCCGATAGCAATCACCAAGTTAAGTGGACTAAATGTATTTATATCATCTGTGGAAGGCGTAGGATCATTAAATGTTTGTCCAATCATATGCCTCAGTCAGAGGGCTACAATAAGCTGCTTGTCAACGTATGTTTTTGCCTGCCTCCACGTGCCCTGTTCGCGCAGACATGATAATAGACATTGCATACCAAGCAAGAATGAAACGCGTTATTGTAATATTATACGCTTTGTACTGTAATGTTTTCTCACCAGTGAATGAGACATGAGGTAATCTGACAGCATTGCATTCAACCCTCCACCAACGCCATCTCACGTTCACGTGTTTTGGGGGAGGCGTGGCTTTGGAGAGTGATTTGCAGGGAGGGTGGAGTCTTATGCTTTTAAAGCTAGCTTGCTCTCTGAAATCACCCACCTTTAATTTTTGACGTGATCTACCTTCCGATTCGACTGGTAGACTGTAAAATGAGCAAATATCACATAGGCTTACATTCACTGAGGAACGAATGAATAAATACTTAAATGAATTGATAATGTGAGAACAGACAGCAGAGTGTTAGGAAAGGGTTTCCTGGGACAAGTCAGCTATACAAAATATTTACCGCAGCACGCTGTGATTTACAGAGGCGATCGATACAATACTACAATCTTTCATATAGAGCATCTCACTCGCTTCCTCCTGCAGGAAATGAACCACTTGCACACGTCTGTCAGAGTCAGAGACATCAGACTGGGCTTGAAGATGAACTGATTAACACATAAAGCCTAAGTGTTTATTTTCTCTCAGCTCAAGCATTTAGAGTAGAAGAGGGCCTTCAGTACCCCATTCTACTGAAAATGTGAGACCAAATTGTTGTATTCTTGATTTTATGAGCCTCCTTAATTAAGAGGGGGTGTCTGTATACTTCCGGCCTATTGAACATCAGCTGTTCAGGGAATTAAATACAGGCAAAGCACAAGCTGCGTACCTCATAACTCTGTCCAAAATACATTATTTTAGCCTCTTTAAAATGTCAAAGTACAGTGAGGCCAGATGGTCCCCGCAATCCCGTCCATCTGGAGGGACCGACGGGTGTTTTGGGGTTTGTTGCTGTTATCCGCCTCTGAACGCGTTCAGGTCACCATAGAGGTTGTTCCCTCTTCCTCATGGATCTCCTGACGCTTTTAAAGTGAGTCCGGCTCTGGCAGGACCATTAAGTGGATTAGTTTCACTCACTCGAAAGGGAGTTGGATCCTGCCGGCGAGCTCAGAGCCCGCTGCGTTTATTCAGGAGATGTATGTAAATAAATATATAACTGGAGAGCAGGAGATATTTTTTTTTACCCTCCCTCCCGACTTAATCTGGGGGAAATGTGCCTGCATGGGGGGAATCGAGCACAAAGGGAATGTCAATATTCTCTCTGCTAGATTAAGGATGTTCTAAAACGGGATTTGATGACCTCAGGAAAAATCTATGATGAAACTTGAATTCTTAGACGCAGGTGCAGGGGTTTTTTTTCTATATGAAATAACCTCACCTCCTCATTTACACAGCTCATCTTCTAGTTTATATATACTTGAGATTTAGCTCTTTTAGTTAAAGGAATGTTCCGGGTTCAGTACAAGTTAAGCGCAATCGACATCTGGGACATTTTGTCAATAACCACAGAAAATAATATACTCTTTACCAAGTTCTTTAAAACAAGCACAAATTGATTTTATGGTAATGCTTTTACAACCTAAGCATATGAGACAAACTGCTGTACTAATATAATAATGAGCTGTAGTTGCTCCATCACAAAAATAATATAATATAATTAGTGCTGTCAAATCATGATTAATCGTGATTAATCGCATCCAAAATTCTGTTTTTGTTTAAATAATGTGTGTTTATTGTGTAAATTTATTGTATATATGAATACGCACACCTACAGCATATATCTTGTAAATATTTACATGTATTTAATATGAAAATGTAACATGTTTTTCTTAAATATATGCATGCATGTGTGTGTATTTATATATACATAATAAATATACACAGCACACACACATACAGTATATTATGTAAACAAAAACTTTTATTTTGGATGCGATTAATCGCGATTAATCGTTTGACAGCACTAAATACAATATATGACATAAGATAAGCTGTGGTCATTCCTGTCACAAAGGTCATGGAACAATCATGGAAATGTCTGTGGTGTTCTCATTTTTGTCGATTGAAGTATTATTGGAGACATTTGTACAACAATATGTTTGTTTAAATCTATTAATTCTGAAGTTTGTGCCTCACATACAAGTGAATATCTGGCCCAATAATTAGAAAAATACGTATGTGTAATTGTGAATATAAAACAATTGACTACAAGTAAATGACTAAAAGTATAAAAATATATTATTTTAGAAGTTAGAAGACTATGGACAGTTTGGGCTTATGAAAGCTGACTGAGAGAGCCTGCTATTAATAAGTCGAGGTACTGATATTAATCAGTTACGGGCAATATTCCTTAGGATGCATAAAAGAACTCTCGCAGTGCATTCTGTCCATTCAGACTCTGCTCTCTCTCTTTTTTTTTTTTTTGGCATTTATGTCTAGTTAACTCAATTAGACCATGTGATGCAGATAAGACCCATCTGAATATCATTGTCTTAGGATGGAGAGACCGAGATAGAGAGGAAGCACCACTGATAACCGTTACATCTACATCTCAGCATTTCCTCTTTGAAGATTGTTCTACTTCAGCTGTTCCTGCTCACAAGAGGGAGAAACATTTCCTTAGCCTCCTATTCCTTATTCCCCCCCCCATATCATCGTGTGGAAACTCATTCTTTCACCTTGACAGAGTCATTCTGTAGCCCTCAGCTGCGGGAAGCATTGTAAGCAGGCGGTTCATGGAGGAACAGCTTCTTAAGAGCTT